GGGCAGACCAGCCCAGGGCCTCCCGCGCGCCGGGGTGCCACCTGCCATGGCCCGGGGTGCCCGACCCGCGGGGCCCCGGGAGCGCAGGGCCTGGCTGTCCCTCACCTGCGTGTCCGTGGTCGTGACCGCCCGGCGCTGGGCCAGTGCCCGCCGTGCGCCCCCCCGCCGGCCCCCGCTGCTGCCGGCCCCAGCCCCCGAGGTGAGTCTGCGGGAAGAGTGAGCGCCTCTGCCGGGAAGCCTGCCGGTCCTGGTCCTGGTCCCGGGGCGCCCGGGGCCTTGGGGAGGAGTGTCCCGGCCTCTCCACTCGCCCCTGTGGGAACTGGTTGGGGGAGTTTGGCTGGCTCAGCAGCCGCTCCGGGCTGTGATGCCGGCTGACCCACGGCAGCAGCAGGCGATGGGCTGTGGGCCGTGCTCACGGCTTCGTCCACATGGACTCCCCACGGGGGTCGGAGGGGCTGGGGGTCATGGCTCCGTCCACGCGGACTCCCCACGGGGGTCGGGGGGCTGCGCTATGGCTCTGTCCCGGTTTCTGGTTAGCGAGGGCTCCCTGTGTGGCTGTGTGCTCTGCCCCTGGGGCCCCTGGGCAGCGGGCCCCTCTTCTGCTCTATTTGTCTATTCTGTCCCCCTTTTTCAGATCCGTGGGCTCCCAGGGGGGCCGTGGGGCTCCAGGTCAGGGCTGCTCCCCCGCCCGTGTGCCCGCGCTGCCCCATCCCTGTCCCAGCCATCACGGCCACTCTCCCCGCCGGCTGTGCCACCGGCTGCCTGTCACCCGTTTTCTCTCCATGCATGGGGTGCACTTGGTGGCGGGGGGGCCAGCATCCCGGAACAGGGATGTTGGTCACTTGGTGGCTCTGTCCTGACGTCCCGAGGGGCAGAGCAGGGGCCCTGCTGGGGTGTGTCTGGCCCAGCCAGCCCCTGGTCCCACTGTGAGTCGCCATGACCACGCTGCCCGGATTCCCAAGGCGTGACCCACACGTCCCTCCTGAACCCCGGCTCCACCCCAGCCCAGGCGGGGGACTGGAGGTTCCTGGAGCTCCCCGTGAGTCACCTGCTGACAAGGTGTGCACTCACCGCCCACAGAGGGCTTCCCCAGCTTGCACAGACAGACAGACAGAGACAGACACTGGACGACCGCACCCGCCCGCAGGAGTGGCCAAGGACTTGCGCCACAGCCCGGGCCAGTGTGATAGGGGCGCCATGGTGTGGGCCGAGCTGGGGAAGCGAGCCAGGGGTCCCATCGGAGGGGGGCTGAGCTGAGGGTCCCAGTCGGGTTGTGTGTGCCGAGCCGCAGGTCCCAGTCAGTGGGGAATAGTAAGCCAGGGGTCCCAGTCATGGGTGCCGGGCCAGGGGTCCCAATCAAGGGGTACTGAGCTGCGGGTACTAGTTGAGGGAAGAACCAAGCCATGGGTCCCAGTTGGGGGGTGCCGGGCCGGGGGTCCCTGTCGTGGGGTACTGGGCCAGGGAGTCCTGGCATTCTCCTGGGCCTGGCAAGGCTGAGAGGTCTGGCCTGGGGGCCCCTGGGCGGTGCTGTGGGCCCACCCCACTCTGAGGGGCTGTGCCCGGCAGACCCCCCAGAACTCTCCCCGCCCCGCTCAAGCCCCGTTTCCTGGGATTTGGCCCCAGTCTGTGCTGTGTCCTGCCCAGTTGGGCCTGTGGGGGGTGGGGAGAGCCTGGGCCACAGGAGTGGGGGGCAGTGGCCGTGTGAGGCTGGGGGTGACGGGTTGGTTTTCAGACGGAGGGCAGAGATGAGTGTGTGAGTGTGTGTATGTGTGACTGTGTATGTGTGTATATCTGTGCGCATGTGTGGATATGTCAGTGTGCATATGTGAGAGTGCGTATGAGTGTACATGTGTGCATATGTGTGTATGAATGTGTGAGCATGTGTGTGTGAGTGTATCAGTGTATATGAGTCTGTGGGTGTAAGTATGTTTGTATGTGAGTATGAGTGTATGTATGTATATGTATGAGTGTGTGTATGTGAATATGCCTGTGTGTGAGTGTATGAGTGTATGTTTAAGTGTGTGTGTGAGAGTGTGTGTATGTTTGTGCGTGTGTGTGTGCGTGTGTGCGTGTGTATATGTGTGTTGGACCCAGGCCCTCTGGGTACTGTGTCCTAAGTTGGCTGGAAGGTGGAAGGCAGGAAAAGCCCCGAGATTGGTCCTGAGCATCCTTTTCCCCAGCAGAGGGCTGGGACCAGAGAGATAGTCCCGCGGGGAGGGCGCTTCCCTTGCTCTTGGCTGGCCGGGTTCAACCCCGGCACCCCATAGGGTCCCCTGAGCACCAGCAGGAGTGAGCTCTCAGCACTCCACGGGTTGTGGCCCCAAAATGGAAAAAAAAAGAAAAGAAAAGGGTGCTGTCAGGGCCTGGTGGGAGGGGACAGCCCTCCGTGGCCCCGTACCTGGGACACTCCGATGAGCAGGTGAGCCCGTGTCACAGGGGAAGCCGGAAGCACGAATTTTCCAATGAAACCACCTGACCTTTCATTGTTGGCTCCCAGCTTTGAAAACACGTTTCCAGCCAAGCCAAACACGCGTGTGGGCTGGATCTGGCCTGGCTCTCGGCCTGAGGTCGGCCCGCAGCCTACAGTCGGCTTCCTGTGCTGGAGGCTGGGAGCTGCTGGTGACCCCCCAGTGGGGCTGGGCGGGGCAGTCTGGGAGTCCCGCTTCCTGCAGAGCCCAGAGGGGGGTGCCCTGTAGCTCCAGGCTGTCCCCCTGCCCGGCCTCCCTTAGCGCGGAAGAGCCCGTGGGCCCCCCACCGCGTGACCCTGGCATGGGTCCTGAAGCTCGTGGGCCCTCCCGAGGCCTGGGGCATCGAGGGACAGAGAGTGGTGGGGATGCTTGCGCTGAGTGCTCCAGGGCCCGCCCCGCCTCCCTGTGCTGTGCCGGGGCTAACACTCAGACCGAGGGGCGCCACGGACCCCTGGGCCCATGACTTCTGGCTTTTTTGCTGGGTTTGGTCTTCGGCCACACCCAGGAGCGCGCAGCTTTGTGTTCAGGGGCCATTCAGGTGGGTCTCAAGGGGCCCTCTGAGCGCCTTTCCCGCCCCCTCAGTGGATCTGTGTTCAAAGTCGCCCTGCGTGGATCCCAGTCTAGTCCCTTTGTCGTGAGGTGCTCTGACATCTCACGGTCGCTCCCCCTCATCCCCCATGCCCCAGTGTCTCTGTTCAGGGCCCGCTGGTTGGTGCCCGACAGACCCCGAGCCTGGCACTTGCCCACCGCGGTCTCCTGGCTCACGGGGGTTGTGGGGAGAGCCCTTGGTGGGGGGACCCTGCAGCCACCGTCAGGGAGGCCTCCATGCTGGCCCTGCCCTGGGACGGACTGACCCCCAGCCTGGGGAGACCCAGAAGGAGGCGAGATTGGGGCCGTGAGCAGAGCAGGGGGCTGCCTGAGCGCACCCCTTTGCTCTCTCATGACGCCAGTGAGCAGGGGGACCCCGCCGTGGAGACAGGGCCTCCCTAGGGGTTGGATGCACACACACGTGTCAGCAGAGCAGGGGTAGCGAGTGGCACGTTACAAGGGGAGCCCCTGGGGGAGAAGGTGGCAGAGGGGGTCCTGATTGGGAGGGAGACCCCCCTGCATCCTCCGTGGGGCAGCGGTCAGATGAGAGGCTGCTGGGGTGATTGCAGACGAGCCCCCCCAGCACTTTGCAGTTTCGCTGCCCCCCACCCCCACCCCAACACCTCAAGGACAGGCCAGAAGTGACCTTGAATTCCCTCCCCTCTGCCCTCTGAGTCACTTGGCCTCTGGGCCTGCTTCCAGGCAATAAAATGGGCGCTGGCCGCTCCCTGCGAGAGATAAAGGGGAGACCTCCAGCCGGGGAGCTGCAGGCCACCCCTTGGCTGGCACCTCCAGGAGCTAGGCCCTCCCCACCTGGCAGCCAGGCCAGAAACAGGCTCCTTGGGTCTCTACCTAAGCTAATCTACCCATCTTTGGATTCAAACAAACAAACAAACAGACCACTCCAGCATTTATGACATTTGCATGGCTATAAAAATATTTTAGAAACATCAGAAAATTCCAAGGGAAAGAGGAAACGACCTAAGCGCTGTCCAGAAGGAACAGTCACCTTGGGGAGCAGGTGCCTCTGAGCTAACGTGCAAGTGACTGCGGTCCCCCCATTCTGCATCGGGGTGCTGTTACCCCGCCCCCGCTCGCCGCTGGGGTCCGCCAGAGGTGACCCTGGGCCGGGCTGGAGTGGTTTGGTTGGGTGGTGGGTGCTAGAGGCATGCATGGAATCCCACGGCCACACCTCTGATGGTTAGCTTCCTTGGGGGGATTCACCAAGGTCAGGGCTGGAGGGTGAAAGGGCAGGAAGTCTCTGGAGCCCCAGGAACTCCCCACCATCTTTGCAGGCTTTGCTGGTGCTCAGAGGCAAGGATGGGTGCTGAGGTGGGCACCTACAAGGGTGAGCTGGCTGGCGCCCCGTTGTCCACGGCTCTCTGAGGCCTACTGACAGGACGTGCTGTCCAGCCCTGCCCTCCCTGACGGGGAAACCGAGGCTGTCGCCTTCCTTCGCAGCAGCCTCATCTCGGTCAGGACCACCCCAGACCCCTTCCCCCACTGTTCTTTCTTTCACGCTGTCTCTGGGTGGGGGAGTCCCCCTGGGGCCACCCGAGGGCCCATCCCTAGGGCCGAGATAGAGCCCACAGAGGGCTGGAGGGGCGCCAGTAGAATTCGTGGGTGGCTGGAGGAACCGCGGCCATTCGCACAGACTCCGCACCCTGCGGCACTGGCTCCCACCCTGCGCGGGCGCCTGCAGTGACAGCTGTGGGCTGGCCGGGACCGGGCCACGCCCTTCGGCACCCGGCCCCGCCCAGCGGAGGCCCCGCCCCCGGCCTGTGCCCGGCCTCGGGGCCCCGCCCCCGGCCCTGGGAGGCCCCGCCCCGGGCCCCGCCCCCGCCCCGCTCGGCCCAGCCCCGCCCCCGCCCCCGCGCTGACTCGGCGGGGCCCGGCCGCGGGCGCAGAGTGTCGGCCGCGCCGAGCCGCGCTGGCCGCCGCCGCCCGCGCCGCCCCGGCTCCCGCGGCCCGGCCGCCCGCAGCGCCGCGAGCCGCCCATGGTGCAGCGCATGTGGGCCGAGGCGGCCGGGCCTGCGGGCGGCGCCGAGCCGCTGTTTCCGGGCTCGCGGCGGAGCCGCAGCGTGTGGGACGCCGTGCGCCTGGAGGTGGGCGTCCCCGACAGCTGCCCCGTGGTGCTGCACAGCTTCACGCAGCTGGACCCCGACCTGCCGCGCCTCGAGGGGGGCGAGCCCGACGGGACGCAGGTGAGCGGGACACCTGCGCGCCCAGATCCAGGATGCACGGGCCGGGCGGGGGGCCGGGGGCCCAGGGGCGCTGCGGTGCCGGGGCTTGTGGGGTCACTGCCCGGACGGACGGACGGGGAGACGGAGGGGCGGGTGCAGGTCGGGGCCCCTCCCCTGCGCGGCACCCGCGCTCAGGAAAGTTCTCGCGCCTCCGGTGCTCGGGAGCCGGGTCCCCTGGGGGCTCCTCCCCGTCTCCGGGGCCCTGGCTGCTCTGTCACAGCCCAGGTGCCCAGCCGGGGCCGAGGGGGCTTCGTGCCCCGACAGGTTCGGGGTCCGCAGCCTGGGGCCGCCCCAGAGCTGGGCGGGGAGCCGGCGTCGTGCTCCCCGCCGTGCTCCCGGCCGCGCGCGGGACCCCCGGCGGGAGGGGGAGCCGGGCCGCGCTCATCTGCCTTCCATTAGCCTGGCAGCCGCCCGGCTTTGTGTGCAGGGAGGGCCGGCCTGGAGCGGGGCAGCTTCCTGGCTCCCGCTCTTCCTCCCTCTCTTCCCATCTGCATCCCGAGCGCCCGGAGAGGCAGACCAGGCCCCCGAGTCCTGTGCCCCCGTCCCCTCGCCCGTGGCCGCTGCTGGGGGCGAAGGGGAAGCGTCAGGGCTTGCCAGGAAAGCGGGGTCCTGGCAGGAGAGGAGCCGCGGCAGGAAACCAACACAATGACCATTTAGCAGGGCCCAGAGGGGGCGGGGAAGTCCCTGTCCCTGCCCAGCACACCCCCCCTCCCGGGCTGGTTTCCTGGTCACTGCCTCGTGCCAGGGCTGGTCCGGCCTCCCTCAGGGTCCCTGTCCACTCTGGAAAGCCCCAGGGACGGCCCTCCCCGGCCCGAGTCCCCGTCGCCGTGTCCACATGGCCTTGCACATCTGGCCGTGCTCTGCGTGGGGGTGCCAAGCCGGCCTGTGCTGGCCCGATGGGCCTGTTGCTTCTGAACCCCAAGTTCTCACTAGGGGACTAGCTCAGAGAGCCCGGGGTCAGGGTGGGAGTGCCCCGCCGAGCCCTGTGCACCTGTCCTGCGGCCCAGGAAGCTGGGCAGCCTGTATCTACCAGGCGGTCACTGCCCCTCATGGGGTCGGGGGCGGCCGGGCTTGCACACCGCAGGCATCCCACACTGGCCCGTGGAGTCAGGAGTGGCTGCTGCCCACTGCCCCCAGAGCAGGAGGCCTGACTGACTGGGCCCCCACCCCCCTTGCGTCCCCGGGGATGTGCCAGCCTGCTGGGCTGTTCCGGGTGCAGGAGCAGGTGGTGAGGGCCGGGCTGGACCAAAGCCTGGTGGCCCCAGGGGGACTCCAAGCGAGTCCAGCTACCCCAGCACTGCTGGCCCCATCCCCCGAGGTCCCCAGCCTCGCTCTGCCATGGTGCAGACCCCCCTCCCCCACCCAGCGATGGGGCTGCCAGGGCGAACCCCAGAGCACTTAGAGTGGCTCTGACCTCATCCCTGCCTGCCCTGGGCAGTGAAGGAGGGCCCAGGGCCTGTCCAGGGAGTTCGGGTCAGGCCACCGGCTTGCCTTGGTGACCGCGTCTGCTTCCCTGGGAACCGCAGAGGTGTGCCCACGCCACCCTGGGCACCCAGCGGGCCCTGCTGTCCCGTGGCCCAGGGCTGGTGCTGGCCGCCGGGCTGGGACTTCGCAGGCAGGAGGCCCACTCCCACCCTCAGCACCGCTGGGTACGGCCCAGCCCCCCTCAAAACAGAAAGCGTGCTCAGCCCTGGGGGGCAGTGCCCTGCAGTGGAACCTTCCCTGTCCAGCCCTGGCTCCCCTGGGGGGGCCTTGAGGCGATTCCTCCAGGGCCTGGAGTGAGTGACCTGGCCTGGGGCGGCCCCTGCCTGCCCATGACCCGACCTCGCCCTGGGCTGTGCCGGCTGGGTGTGGCCAAGGGCGTGGTGAGGTGTCAGGGTGGGCGTTGGGGGTATCTGCAGGGGCTTCTAACGCTGTGGCCGGGGTTCCCACGCGGGCTGGCGGTCAGGAACAGGAGGGGCGTGGGGCCCTCCCACCCTCACCCCTCTTCCTCCGCTGGGCTCAGCTCGGGCTGCCCCCCACACCCTAAACTCCAGCTGCCACCCTGGGCCGTGGCTCGTGGGGTCCGATGTGCCCCCCGTGCCGGCTGCATCCCTGCGTGCTCTCGCGTGAAGGGGCAGTGCTTGGCTCCATCCAGATGGGCTGGGACTTGGCTGGGCCTCGCTGGCAGGGTCCCCCCGCCGGGCTGCAGGACTCAGTCTGGCCCCCAGCCCCTGCGGTGCTCCCGAGGCTAGCCTGAGGCCTGCCCGGGACCCCCAGTTCTTGGGGGGTGAGGGGAGACCCCCGGGCCTCAGCTCATCACCCATCCCTGCCCGAGGGGGGCGCGGGGGCTCCCCCTGCAACTCCCGGGGGACTCAGGCCTCCGTCTCCCGAGAGCCCCTTCTGCCCGGGGAGCTGGGCCATGGGCCCGGACCAGGCTGCCGTGACCCAAGTAGCTACGAGCATCCACGCGGTGGGGTTGCGGGCAGGACTCAGCGTCCCGGGGTGCTGGGGGCACCCCTGGCGGGTGGCGGCACCAGACCTCCGGCCTGAGTTCAAGAGGAGCGAGCCCCCATCTGTGCCACGGGTGCTCACTGCCCCCCTTCCAGCCTGTGCGGCTCGTGGCCTCCCGCCCTCCCCCCCACGCCTGGCTGGCAGAAGGGGCCCCTTGGGGGTGGGGGCAGGGCTGGGGATCACATGACGGCCAGGCGGGCCGGCCAGCTGCTGGCTGCGAGAGGCCTGCTCCTACTCCCTCTCTCTGTATCTGTGTGTGTGTGTGTGTGTGTGTGTCTCTGTCTCTCTCTCCGTCTCTGTGTCTGTCTCTGTCTCTTTCTTTGTTTCTCTCGGTCTCTGTGTGTCTCTCTGTCTCTGTCTTTCTGTGTGTCTCTCTGTGTTTCTATCTCTTTCTTTGTCTCTCTCGGTTTCTGTGTGTCTGTCTCTGTCTCTGTGTGTGTGTGTCTGTGTCTCTCTGTCTCTGTGTATGTCTCTCTGTCTCTGTGTGTCTTTATGTATGTGTCTCTCTCTCTCTGTCTCTGTGTGTCTCTCTGTCTCTGTCTCTCTCTTGCTCTCACGATGCAGAGCCGCTTTTCAGGTGGGCATAATGTGAGGCCCCCTGTGCGGGAGCGCTGTTGAGAAACAGTTGGGGGCTGGGCTTCTTGGGGGCGGCGGATCCTGCTTGGGGCCTCCAAGCCATCGGGGTGATACGGACAGGCGTTCACCCGGGTCTGGCTTGCAGCTGGCAGCCGCAGCTGTGATGCCCCGAGGTGACCTCTTTGGGCCCCTCCGGACCCAGGACACGGGCAAACTGGGGGCTGGACAGTCGCCACGAGGCCGGGGGAGGAGATGGCCTCTGTTGGAGGGGAGGATGCCCCTCCTGTGGGGACTGTGCCTCCCCCCCCCCCGTTTCCGAGAACCCCGTTGGCAGCTGCTCAGGCAGTGCGGGGTCAGCGCAGGGATTTCCGTGGCCGTCCTGCGGGGGAAGCCCGGGGTGGGGACAGAGGAAGTTGGCTGCCCGAGGACACCTTCCTTCCCGGAGCTGGAGGCAGAGAGACGCAGGGACATCCGGGCCCTGCGTCACGTCCCGGGGTGCTGACATCTGGGGGTCCAGCTGAGCCCCAGTGCTTGGTCCCGGGGCTTTCCCGAGCCCTTCCTGCCCTGCACTGACCACTCGCCGGGTGACCCTGGTGTCCCCCCAGCCCTTCCTTGGACCCCTCCCGGCACCTGCAGACCAGAAGGAGGGGGCTCGGCCCCAGGACAGGGAACGGCCTTTCTGCCTGAGCCGGGGGGCAGGCTCGCCGGCCCCCGCTGGCCCTGGCTCTGTTCTACACATGCTGTGGTGGATGCAGGCATGGGGAAGCCCTTGGCTGCCTGCATGGCACCAGGATGTACTGAGCGGGGAGGGCAGGGGACTCACAGGGCACGGGCGCGACCGGCTGTGTGTGCCCAATGATGGACCCCGTGGGCCCAGGGCCATAGTACAGCAGGGAGGGCATTGGCTTTGCACACAGTGGGCCCGAGTTCGATCCCTGGATAGGAGGAAGCCCTGAGCATGCCTGGGTACAGCCCCAGATAGACAAACATGTTATCTTGCCGGGCTCTCCAAGGGGGGCGGAGGAATCGAACCCGGCTCGGCCAGGCTGGCTGCGCTCTAGACAAACGCCCTACCGCTGTGCTATCGCTCCACTCCTTCCCAGACCAAATCTGGGGAGTCAAGTCCTTCCCAAACCCCCAAATCCAGCAGCCGTGGTGGCCCCAGTGTGGCCCCATCAAGTGCTCACCAAATGCGCTGGGGGGCTGTTCCGTTCCCACCACGCCGGGGGGGAGGGGCTGCCCCACAGGGGCCCGTGCCCAGGGCCCAGCGGCAGGCCCTGAGCCCGCCCACCCCGCGCTGTCTCGGCAGGGTTCGACGCAGGAGATCAGCGAGGAGCTGGTGAACGGGGTCATCTACTCCATCTCCCTCCGCAGGGTCCAGGCGCACCACAGCACCCCCCGGGGCCAGCGCTGGCTGGGGGTAAGTGCAGGGGCGGGCTCCAGGGCAGCTGCAGCCCCTCCCCATGACCGAACACTCGGGGTTCTGCAGGGGTCAGGCCAGGTCATCAGTGTTTGCCCTCTGCCCCCTCCGGCCCTGCCCTGCAGTGTGTTTCTGTCCGGTCTCTGGCGCCCTCTGGTAGCCCCACGTGTCAGAGGAGAAGCAGCCTGACTTGGATGGAATATTCCAGAAGGCAGGGCGCTGACCGTGGCCGTCCAGCTTTTTGCCGCTGTGGGATGCTTCTCTGTGTCCACTTGCAGGCCCTATCCTCCCCCACCCCCCTCGTTCTAGCACAGGCCATTCTGCCAGACTCAGGCGCCCCACCAAACATGAGAGGCGGGCCCCCCCCCTTGTGCATCCCCCCCGACCCCCGGAGCCCGGAGGCTGCAGCTGACATGTGGCATGCCCCCCCACCCGCAGTGTGAGAATGAGTCCGCACTCAGCCTGCTGGAGACGTGCAAGGTGCGCACGGTGAAGGCGGGCACGCTGGAGAAGCTGGTGGAGCACCTGGTGCCCGCCTTCCAGGGCCGGGACCTCTCCTACGTCACCATCTTCCTCTGCACCTACCGCACCTTCACCACCACCCAGCGGGTCCTTGACCTGCTCTTCAAAAGGTGAGTCCCTCCGCCCCGTGCCTCGACGGAGGAGGGAGGGAGGGGCCCGGGTGGACCAGGGTCATCAGGCGCCCCCTTCCCGCCGGTAACGCGCGGCCCCCAGCAGGTACCGCACCTGTGACGTCCTCACGGCCCCCTCTAGATATGGATGCATCCTGCCTTACTCCGGCCGGGACGGCGGCCCTCAGGACCAGCTCAAGAAGTGAGTGGGCACCGGGCCTGGGGGACGGGGCCTCTCTGGCAAGGGCAGGGGATCCCCGTGCTCCGCCCTACCTGACAGTGCCGTCCACCCCCAGTACCATCTCCTCCATCCTGGGCACCTGGCTGGACCAGTACTCGGAGGACTTCTGCCAGCCGCCCGACTTCCCCTGCCTCAAGCAGCTGGTGGCCTATGTCCAGCTCAACATGCCCGGCTCGGACCTGGAGCGGCGCGCCCACCTCCTCCTGGCCCAGCTGGAGCACGCGGAGCTCACGGACTTGGAGCCTGGGGGTGAGGCCCTCGGGGGAGGCACCTTCCTGGGAAGGTTCTGGATGCTTCCTGACTTGCAGGGACCAGCCTTCAGCGCCTTCAGCGGCGGTGTTCTTGTCTCCCAGCGCCAGCTGTGAAACCCGCTCCAGAGCTCCCGCCAGCCCCGGCTCCCAGGCCTGCCCCAGCTCCGGAGCTTGAGTCCACCCAGGTGCCGGGTCCAGTTCCGGAGCTTGAGTCCACCCAGGGTCCAGCTCCGGGGCCTGAGTCCATCTGGGCTCTGGAGGTCAAGGCAGCGCCTAAACCAGCCCGAGCACCTAGTCCCGAGCCAGAAATCCTCCCGTCACCAGCCCGAGCACCCAGCCCGGAGCCCGAGGAGGCCGCAGTGCCGGCCCCCACGCCCAGCCCTGCTCCGGAACTCGAGACAGCTGCGCCAGCCCCCACACCACCGGCCACGGAACTGGAGGCCGCCTTGCTGCAGACTCTGGAGCTGGAGGCCTGTGCGGCGCCTGAGCCCCCCTGGCCCCCACCCGCGGCTGCCGAGGATGGGCTGCCAGACAGGCCGCACATCCTGGCCTTCCCTGCGGACCTGGTGGCCGAGCAGTTCACGCTGATGGACGCGGTGAGTGGCCAGCCTAGCACCGGCCCTGCTGCCAGGCCCCGGTCCTCGCATTTCTGTCCTCACCGGGAAGGGTCCCCCCCCCCGCACCCCAATGCACTCAGCGGAGGGGCTGTGCCCAGAGATGCAGCCGGCCGGGCCCCGCTGCGTGGGAGTGACCCGCCTCAGATGTGCCCACGGTGCCAGGTGGGGCCCTGAGACCCCTTCTGTGTGTGGCCCCAGCCTGTGTGCAGGAGTGAACTGGGGACTCTCACGGGCTCCTCCTCGTCCTCTGCTCCCCGGTGCCCACTGACCACAGTCCTCCCCAGGAGCTGTTCAAGAAGGTGGTCCCGTACCACTGCCTGGGCTCCATTTGGTCGCAGCGGGACAAGAAGGGCAAGGAGCACCTGGCACCCACCGTGCGCGCCACCGTGGCCCAGTTCAACAGCGTGGCCAACTGCGTCATCACCACCTGCCTGGGGGCCCGAAGTGTGTCGGCCCGCGACCGGGCGCGGGTGCTGGAGCACTGGATCGAGGTGGCCAAGGTAGGCCCCGGAGGACCCCCGTCTCTCCCATCGGGGTCTGTGCCTGGAGTCTCCCGACTCACCGCCCCCTTCCCCCCTAGGAGTGCCGAGCCCTCAAGAACTTCTCATCACTCTACGCCATCCTGTCTGCCCTGCAGAGCAACGCCATCCACCGCCTGAAAAAGACGTGGGAAGAAGTTCCCCGGTGAGCCGCCACCGGGCGCCCGTGCTGCTTCCGTGTCTCTCCAGCCGCACTCGCCATCCACATTGTCCGCAAAACTGCTCTGAGGCGGGCATAGGGCTGCGGGCTCGCCCCGCCCTGCCCCAGGGAGCCCCGTTTGCACACCTGGACCCATCCTAACCTCCTGCCCCTTCCCTCCCACAGGGAGAGCCTGCGAGTGTTCCAGAAGCTGTCGGAGATCTTCTCGGATGAGAACAACTACTCCCTGAGCAGAGAGCTGCTCATCAAGGTGGGGGCGGCAGTGATGGTGGTTCATGGGGCCCCATGAGACTCAGCCCCCGCCTTCCTGTCCGGGCTCCCTGGGAGGGCCCTGCTGCTGGGACCTGGGACCGCCCGTCCGTGACTGGTGCCCCGTGGGCTGTTGGGTGCTGGTGGCGCCTTCCAGATGCTTCCTTAAGAATAAGGACATGTTTGCCCAGGCGGCACACAGTCGAGCTCTGAGCAAGGGCCATGCTCTGGGGCTCATGGGGAGGGGAAGCTTTAATGGGGCTCAGTGGCACCCCAGGGTCCCCGTCCCTCCCCGACTCCCCCCTTCTTTACTGCTTGTGCCGGCTACAGCCTCGCTTTGCAGGTAGGGAAATGGACCCGGGGAGGCAGGGCAGGGATTATGTGCTGACCATGCAGATCCCCCAGGCCCCTCCAGGGGTGTCCCCTGAGCACAGAGCCAGGATCAAGCTCTGAAAAGACCCAGGTGTGGCCCAAACACCGCCCATAAGTGGGGAGACAGCTGAGGCAGGCCAGAGTAGCCCCCGGGTGCCGTGGGGAGGTGCCCTGCTGAGCACACTCTGCACCCCGGCAGGAGGGCACCTCCAAGTTCGCCACTCTGGAAATGAACCCCAAGAGAGCTCAGAAGCGCCCGAAGGAGACGGTAAGCATGCCCGCCGTGCCTTCGGAGCAGCCCGGGCTGGGGGCAGGCTCCAGGGTGAGGGGCTGCTGGGGACCATGCGCTCAGGGAGGTGCCAGGAGCAGCCTGGGGGGCTGAGTGGGCAAGGAGGGTCCATGGCGGGGCCGGGGACCCAGGGGCCCTGGCCTGCTTACCTGCCGCGCCCGGCCTCACAGGGCACCATCCAGGGCACTGTCCCCTACCTGGGCACCTTCCTCACAGACCTGGTGATGCTGGACACGGCCATGAAGGACTACCTCTATGTGAGTGAGTGGCAGGGGGATGGGCTGGGGGCCCAGCTCAGCAGTGAACACACGACTGCTGCGGCCAGAGCCACCCCCAAGTTGGGCCACACAGGGCATGTCCCTCCCCGACCCTTTGCCATCAGATGTCCCCCACGCCGGGCCAGGATCTGTGGCCCTTGGAGGGTGGTGGGAAGGCCCTGCCCCCTGGTGTCCGCGCGCGGCAGTGCAGCTGCAGGGGTGGGGTGTGGCGGGTGAGGCAGCGTGCTGAAGGTGCCTCTCCTTGCAGGGCAGACTCATCAACTTCGAGAAGAGGAGGAAGGTGAGCAGCCCCGCGGGGAGCGGCGGGGCCCGGGCAGCCTTCCCCGCTGGGTGGGGGGCCGGGGAGGGCGAGAAAGGGCCGCAGTCTCCGCGTCCCCGCAGGAGTTCGAGGTGATCGCGCAGATCAAGCTGCTGCAGTCGGCCTGTAACAACTACAGCATCGAGCCCGAGGAGGCCTTCGCCACCTGGTTCCGGGCCGTGGAGCGGCTCAGTGAGACCGAGAGGTGAGGGCGGTCGCCGGCTCGGGTGGGGCGCCCAGCGGGACCCAGGGGCTCACGGCCGGCCCGCCTCCCGCCCCCAGCTACAACCTCTCGTGTGAGCTGGAGCCCCCGTCAGAGCTGGCCAGCAGCACGCTCAAGGTGAAGAAGAGCACAGCCATCGTGAAGCGCTGGAGCGAGTGAGTGTGGGCTGGGGTGCCTGCAGCCTCTGGGGTGCCTCTCGGTGGGGGGGTGTGGGCCAGGGTGGGGGGCGCCCAGCTCACCCCCCGCCTCCCTCAGCCGCCAGGCCCCCAGTGCCGAGCCGAGCACGGGCGGCAGCTCCCACTCCAAGTCGTGTGACCAGCTGCGGTGCGGGCCCTCCCTGGGCAGCGGGGACCTGGCAGACGCGCTGAGCGTGCACTCGGCCGGCTCCTCCAGCTCCGACGTGGAGGAGATCAACCTGAGCTTCGTGCCTGAGTCCCCCGACGCGCAGGAGAAGAAGGTGCGGCCCGGCCCTGCGCCCTGCTCCCTGGCCCCCGCCCGGCCCGCGGCCGCTGACACTGTCCTCCTGCAGTTCTGGGAGGTGGCCTCCCAATCGTCCCCGGAGACATCCGGCATCAGCTCCGCCTCAAGCAGCGCCTCCTCCTCCTCGGCCTCCACCACTCCCGTGGCCTCCACGCGCTGCCACAAGCGGTCCATGTCGGGGATCTGCGGCTCCACCTCTGCACTGCCACTCTATAACCAGCAGGTGGGCGACCACTGCATCATCCGGGTCAGCCTGGACGTGGACAACGGCAACATGTACAAGAGCCTCCTGGTGAGCCGTGGTGGGCGGGCGGACGTGTGGCATGGGGGGCAGCACAGAGCCGCTGGCCCTGAAACAGGCCGGGGGCAGGATCTGGAGAGAGGGAGCCTGCAGCCCAGGGTGGGGAAGGGCATCTGGGGCGGGGGGCACTGCACGTGGGGCCCCTGGCTGGTGGCCGTGGAGGTGAGTGGCCAGACCAGACGCTGAGTGGAACGGAGCCTGTGCCACTGGGATCTGGCCCGCTCTGGGGGTGGAGGCCCGGCCCCCCACACGTGCTGCCTGCCACACCAGGTGCCCCTCCTCACGCCCACGCTGTGCGGTACACTGGTCACTGTGCAGTCATGTCGGGCCCGAGAGGACCCCACCAGCACTGCTGACCCCAGGCCTCTAGCCAGCTCCTCCGCCACCCAGGGCTGGGGGATCTGTCGAACGTGCTGCTCGGGGCCAGCTGGCAGGAGGTGCCGGGTCAGGGCACAGCCCCAGCCCAAGGCTCTGAGCTGCACTCGGGGGTGACTCTGGACCCTTGAGCTGATGGCCTGTCTGTTCCCCCCACCATAGGTGACCAGCCAGGACAAGGCTCCGGCCGTCATCCGCAAGGCCATGGACAAACACAACCTGGATGAGGAGGAGCCCGACGACTACGAGCTGGTGCAGGTCATTTCGGAGGACAGAAGTGAGTGGGGGCTGCTGGACACCCAGGGCTAGGGAAGTCCCAGGTCAGAATTGGGGACACAGACACGAAACTAGCAGCTGACACAGCAGAGAGGCTGCGAGAGGGGCAGAGAGAGCAGCCGGGCACCAGGCAGGGGCCCTCAGCGCTGGTTCCTCTCCCCACACGACCAAGCCAGCGAGTCCTGAGTCGGTGAGGCTGCCGTGAGGGTGACAGTCACCTGCCGCACAGGGCCCCAGGAGCACCTGGCAGCCACCTAGCTCGGTCCTCCCTTTCCCTCTTGCCAGTTGATCAACTGCCGGGTCCTTCCACCAGACACAAACCACCCTGATCCCTAGACGCTCTGTCCTAAGACGTCCTCAGTGAAGGGGGCAGGGCAGGTGGGACCCCTGCCTTTAAAGGACAAGCAGGCTGAATCCCCCTGGAGCAGACCAGATGAGGGGTGCTGGGTCCCAGGGCCTGGCTGGGGGAGGACGAGGCTGCGGGGAGGAGGTGGGTGTCAGGGGCCGGCCTCTGGTGCAGGGGTCCCAGGCACTCGCCACTGACCTGCCCTCACCCCTGCGCCCCCAGAGCTGAAGATCCCCGACAACGCCAATGTGTTCTACGCCATGAACTCCACGGCCAACTATGACTTCGTGCTGCGGAAGCGGCCGGGCGCCAAGGGCGCCAAGGTGCGGCATGGTGCCAGCTCCACGCTCCCGCGCGTCAAGCAGAAGGGGCTGCGGATGGCCAAGGGCATCTTCTAGGGCGGGGCCGCGCCGGGATTGACGCCCCTGGGCCGACCTGGCCACCCACGCCCACCCTGCCGTAGGTGCCTTCCGCCCTCCGGAACCGGCGGGCACTGCCAGCTGTGCCCACGGCCCGCCCCGGCCGCCCAGGCCGCCTGCACCAAAGATCCTGCCACGGGGCAGCCGCGCCCACTCCGGCCTGGCCGCTGCGGGAGCACATGTCCTCCCCGAGACCACGGGAAGACCACGGAAACCTCCCGAGACCGAGACCTGGGAGGCCTTGCAAGACCGTGCGCCTCCGGCGTTGGGGAAGGAGGGCGCGTGGGGCTGGACGGGCGCTGACTCTTTGTATAAAAGGCAAAAAGAAAAATGTTTACCAGTGGGGGAGGGGCAATATTTATTTGTTGTAAATAGCGAACGCTAGACTTGAATATTCTATTAAAACCCGGTTTCTACGAGAGCCTGGCGCTGCTGTTGGCCGCGGCCCGGCCAAGATGAAAGTCTGTAAAATAGGGGAGAAGGGGTCCTGGCCCTGTCCGGGGGGCTGGGACTCCCAGCACCACCAAAAATGAGTCAAAAGATGGGGCCGTGGGGCGTTTTCCCGCCCCTAGCAGGCCCAGAGGAAACAAAGTAAGAGGAAACAAAGTAACAAGACACCAATTAGAGGAGCTGCAGCTGGGCACCTCCCGAGGGTTGTGCTCCCTGGGAGCTGAGTTTCCCATCCCAGATGCCCTCCCGTCTTCAGTCTCCACCCTTATAAGCACCCCAAGGTACCACCTTCCTGCCTGGGTCCTGATGGTCCGAGGACTGGCTGGCCAGGAGAGGGAACGACTGCTTCCGACCACAGGGAGACCCCACAGAGGCAGTCTGGGGCCCTGTGGCTCTAGGACCAGGTCCTGGGCATTATGCCTGTTGGCACCGATTTATCCGAAAGAGCCACTGGGCCTGAGGTGCTGAAGCTGTGGCCTGGGGCAACTCTTGACCATGTCTCTGCCCTGTGTGTGTTGGGAGTTGCAGTGGGTGAGCCTGTTCCGTGGGCAAGGGCGGGAGGGAGGCCACGGAGATGCCACTGGTCGCTCAGGGTGCCACTTCACCCAGGAGACCAAGCCCACAGAGTTGTCACAGGCACCGCCCTCGTTTCATTGTAGGAACTCAGAACACACCCAGCGGGCAGTCTCCAGGTCCCTGGACAGTGAGCAGAAGAGGCTGTGCTTGGTGTGGGGGGCCACTTGCTCACGGGGTCCCCTCTCGATACTGGTTTGGCTGTGGGGACAGCAGGACACAAGGACACCCCCCTGTTGTGTGTCTGGGGCCCAGCCAGAGACTGAACAGCACATGCCCTTCTGCCCAACTCCAGGATCCCAGAACCTTCTATGAGCCAGCCCTGCCCACAGTGAGGGAGGCCTGTGGGAAAGCCCCTGACATTGTTGGACGTTAGAGTCAGGAGCCTTGGACCCGGGTTTGAATCAGCTCAGAGCCTTGGGCACGTGGCTGCCACCTCACACATTTCCCCCACTGCTCCACATTGTCTAAGATGGGTGAGGGGTGCACGGTGCCCCATGAGGTTAGCCTGGGGTCAGTCACGGATTCTGCCTCTGCCTCCTGCCCCCCTGACCTTGCCAGTATCAGCAGCAGCCCCCTCTGGTCACTCTGCCCCTGACCTCCCGCTGTGGCGTCTGTCCCTCCCGGCCATAGACTGCTGGTGGGCAGAAGCCCAGACATGGGGGCCCGCTCACTCCCACACCCAGAGGTCAGGCCAGGGCTCATCAGTCCACAGAGCCGCTGTACCCCTTGGGCCAGTACAAACCCTCCAAGAAGCTGCGGCATGGCCACCCCCGGCCTCGATGCACAGAGACTGCTCTGATCCCTTTCCTCCCCAACCCCCTTTCCTGGGGCTGCAGTGCCGAGCATTTCCGATGCCCAAGGACCACCCCGGGCCCCTCTGGCTGGGACACAGGAGCAGAGAGGCCAGAGAGGGACAAACTTTATTGGGGAGGGGGTCGGGCACAGGCCTTAGAACCCAATAACAAAAGGCATGTTGGTCTCCTGGGATTCTGAGGGGGGCAGGGGGACGGCCTCGGAGTCATCGGTGGGTGGTTGGGGGGCGGCCTCGGAGTCATCGCTGGGGGGCAGGGGGGCGGCCTCGGAGTCATTGCTGGGGGGCAAGGGGGCGGCCTCGGAGTCATCGCTGGGGGGCAGGGGGGCGGCCTCGCTGTTGCTCACGGTGGGCAGGGCCTGGTATGTCTGCATCCAGAACTGCAGGTAACTGGCCCTCAGGTCCCGCTTCATAGAGTCTGCATCCATCTTGTTGTTAATGTCCAGGTACTCTCTCCCATCCACTGTGTAGGGTTCCCACCGAGTAGGCACGGGCGAGGAGCCCACGTTGGGATCCCTGTGGGTGAAGAGAGGCTGGGTGGGGGCTCACGGGGCGGGGGGGCTAGAGCCCTCCTCCCCGTGCGCTGACCCCCACCCAGCAGAGCACTGCTGGGTGTGGGCCCCAGGGCTGAGGACCACAGGACAGGGGCCTGGCTCGGCACGCCAGCCTTACCCAGTTTTGGCGAAGTTGGTCCAGTAGGCGATGATGGCCTTAGACACGGTCCTGTCCTGTGCTCGGTAGCCCAGGGGCGTGGCCATGGGCTTCCCGAACACGTACTGGAGGTCATCGGCATGGTCGGCCCCAACCCACTTGGGGTAGATGGGCATCCGGGTAGGGTGGGAGAATAGGTAGGAGTAGGTCCTGCCGGTCCTGGGAGGGGACAGACACCTCCGGTCAGTGGGACCGGCCTGAGGGACGCAGGGGGACGCAAGCCAGTGCCCATCCCTGATTCAATATCCGGGCAGGAGGGGTCAGAGCGATAGGACAGGGGGCAGGGCCTGTGCCTCGCTCACGGCTAACCCGGGTTTGAGTCCCAGCACTGCACAGGGTCCCCTGAACCCACAGGGAGGGAGCCCCTAAACAAAAACTGGGGGTGAGGAGAAGGGGAGAGAGCGCAGAGCGCCAGGCTCGCGGGTGGCCCTGCCATTTCCGTTGGCATTCGCCCACATGCCCATGACAAGGCTGGTCCCTGACCCAGTGTCAGGAGTGACGTTGTTCTCGTGACGGGAGTGACCTGGACGGGGACAGCGCGGCCCGGTCCCCGGCCCTGTCTTGGGGCCGACAGGGCATTCTGCGCTCGTCTCTAGCACAGGTGCTACAAACGCTACCTCCTCCACTTTCAGGGGCTTCGCTCCCCCGTGCCTTTCTCTCTGCCTTTGTTTTCCGGCGAATATTATCTTCCTGCTCGGGGAATGCCTAGGTCATTTGAATTTCTTTTCTTTTTCTTTCTTTTGCTCGAGCGGGCCCAGTAACGTCTCCATTGGAGATTTTGTTGTTACTGTGTCTGGCATATCGAATACTCTCGGTAGCTTGCCGGGCTCTCTGAGAGGGGCGGAGGAATCGAACTCGGGTCGGCCATGTTGGCCGCTTGTAAGGCGAACGCCCTACCGCTGTGCTATCACTCCCGGCTGGAGCGATAGCACAGTGGGTAGGGCGTCTGCCTTGCATGCAGCCAACATGGCCGACCCGAGTTCGATTCCTCCGCCCCTCTCGGAGAGCCCGGCAAGCTACCGAGAGTATCTCGCCCGCACGGCAGAGCCTGGCAAGCTCCGCGCGACGTATTCGATATGCCAGACACAGTAACAACAAAGTCTCCAATGGAGACGTTACTGGGCCCGCTTGAGCAAATCGATGATCAACGGGAGGGCCTTTACTTTACTTCTTTCTTTTGGTTTTGGGGACATGCCTGGCAATACTCAGGCTGGCTCTGCACTCAGCAATCACACTCCTGGCAGTGTCCAGGGACCCTATGGGATGCTGGGAATCAAACCTGGGCCCACCGCAGCCCACTGCGTGCAAGGCAAGGGCCTTTGCACTGTGCTGCGGCTCTGGTGCTCATTTTCATTTCTGCAGGCTGGAGGCCTTCTCGGGCCCAGACTAAGTTCCTTGGAAGATGCCAAGTTGAGCCTCAGAACAGCTTACTCTCACCCGGCATGAGGTGAGGAAGCAGAGGCCAGAATTTTTCAGAGAGGAGCACATGGCCAGTGGGGAGGGGGCAAGGGGGTCCCTCTGGGGTCCCAGCGGGCAGCTGGCATGGGGGGGCTCATGGCTCTTGAGGTGCTGCCCCACCCCCACCCTGCCCCTCCCCTCTCACTTGGCTTGGGCCTTGTGCTGGGCCAGGGCCATGGCCGTGGGCATCAGGAAGAGGATATCCGTCTCGAAGTTCACCACCGTCTTCTTCTTGGTCTCCTGGGACGCATCTTGGCTCCAAGGCTCCGTGTAGAAGTTGTAGGTGGCCTTGGCACCTCTCTCGCCCTTGGCGTAGGTCAGCCCGCTGACCAGCTTGTAGAAGTCCTCACTGCAGAGACAGGCCCCACCAGGCGTGACGCGGGCCTGTCCCTCGCCACGGAGCCCCCACACCTGCCCCGCACCCCCACTCACTCGGTGATGCTCTGCTTGTTCTTGTCGATGGCGGGCAGGTCAATGGTGGTGAAGAAGTGGCCATCCATGTCGTTGGTGCCCGCAATGTAGTCGATGTCAGCGGCATTGTGGAACAGGCGGCTGGGCTCGTCGGGGAGGAAGTCTCCGTCCACCACGGGCACGAAGCCCAGGTAGTGCATCATGGGGTCTGGGGGCACAGCGCTCGGCTTTCACCCGTGCACCAGGCCCGGGTGACGGGGTCCTGCATGCTTTGACCCATGCCAGGCCTGGCTCCCGTGTGGCGGCCACATGTGTGTGGGCAAGGGCTGAGGGAAGCAGGAACCAAGAGAGCCCTTCCACTGCCGGAGGGAATCTCTTCCCAGAAAATAGTGCCCTGCAAACCGTGCCAGGCGGTGCCGACGTGGGAGCCCTGGGCGGTTGTGGGTGAGCTCTGGGTCACATCCTCAACAGGCTCTCGCAGTCCTGGGTGCTGTCCCCAGCACCATGCAGTCCCTCCCGCTAGCACCAAGTACGACTTGGAGGCCCGGAGCGACACAGTGTCCTCGGGCCTTGCTCTAAAGCACCAGCCCAGTGGACCAAGTTGTATCAGAAGGACCCCTAGGTGGGTCCCCAGAAGGACCCCCAGAAGGACTCCCAGGCCCTGAGCACTGCTTGGGAAGTCCCCAGAACAAAGCAGAGGCACCCCGTTACTTTCCTCTGGAGAACGGGGGTCAGGCCGACCCAGTGGGGCAGCCACTGATGACTTGAACCCCTGGTCTTCCTGGGGAGCCCTGGCCGAGGGCTGGACACTCCGTGGGCGGCTGCATGCATTTGCAGGTTGGAGACAGGGCACTCCCATGAGTTCTGGGGGGCCGTGACTGGGGTGCCTGGGGCCTAGGGTACCCCCCACCCACCACACTTACACTCCATGCCGACCAGAGGCATCTTGTAGGCCATGGTCAGCGCCTTGGGGTCAGTGACCTTCAAACACTTGGCCATCCT